GACTCGAACTTCTTGGGGGTGTAGTCACCCCATTGCATGTTGCCATCGGCGGCAGAGGGGTCATGGGCGACCCATCCCTTGAAGTCTGGTGAGGAAGACATGATTGTTTGGTGACGTTACTGAGTGGAGGGAGAGTGATGAATTGTTGTGAGAGATGTTAGAGATGTTTGATGGGATGCCGAATTTACAACTACCTCTCGTCAGTCTTATACCTATACACATTTTCTAGAAGTTTTCCGGCATTTGTAATACATCAAGAGACGGTATGAGGTTGCCGTTTCGTTATCCTAGTGTTTTGCTCTTTCGCCGATCTACGCCGACGGCATCGGACCCACTTTGACGACGTTTTTGAGCCTCAAGCGGTGCGTGCACAGCATATCCGTTAAACCCGCCCTCACCGGTCCGATAAGGGTATGGGTCTGAGGCGACAAGACTGCAAAACTCTCGGACGAGGCTCGCGGTGAAGACGTCAATCTGGGGCCAGTCCCGGAACGTGTATCATCGATCTGCCGCGACACGTGGAAAGCTCAAGGAGGAAGGCGTTTTACGCAGCGCTAACCTAGCTCCCGTTGACGTGTCGGGATTTAGAATCGGTTCGAATCTTTCTATGCTTCTAGACCTGGTCGTATTGTTATGTCAACATCTCAGATATCTCCCTTTGCGTTGACCGCCAAGCTGACCACGCGCGCTTTCTTCAACATACAACCCACCTCATGCCATTGTCTCATGCGCTTGGCCTAATGCTACCGGTTGTTATATCTCTCAGAAAAGGCCGGGGTTGTCATGCACAAGATCGTGTGACAGGAAGTTGCATCATAATAAGTTGGCATATCAGGGACCAATTGAAGTAATCGCAGATCTCAAGAAAAGACACTGCAGTCTTATTAGCGCGGAGAGGTTCTTTCTCATCATGCAAGTTTCTCCTTTATCCACTCAATACCTTTTTTCAGCACATGCTTCGCTTCGTCGTACTCTTGCCACCGAAGATTTACTTCGGCCCTTTTACGTTCAAGCGGTTCGCGGCCTGGTATCGAGAGCCTTGCGTCATAGATCTCGGCGCCGTCATCCAGTTTGATCTTGATGATGCGCTCCTCTTCGACATGACCGCAAAGGAGATCCCATACATGTTTCGTCACTTTGTCGAGTAAGAGTGTTGGTTTGTTGTCTTCGTATCGACAGATAAGTGGCAGTTTAATGGAGAATCCGGAAGTGCGAGACCTCATCTCCAGGGGTAGTGTTCGTTCTCCGAAACCATGTTCGGAGCCATACAACGCCTCATCCAGCGCCTCGAGCGCACTTGTCCCCATAGACACAGTAAGCTTATTCGGTGACATTATAAATCAGCTCTCCAGAGTATGCTTGTGGAAGTGGATGTGAGTTGCTTCGCGCAAATAGCAAGGATCTGAGGCACTGTGTACTTTGCTTACCGGTAAGGAAGCCCAACATTGCGCTGAAGTCACGCCTGCGGTTCGAGTGACCGTGCAAGATTCATTCACAGTCGCTCAACAGCAGGTCATATGTAGCTTGACGAAATCATTGGAAGCGTGAGTTCGACGGCGCCACGACTGCCCCATGACGCGATTTAGCGTGGCACTTCAAGGCAGCGCTGCGTCCGGGGGTATGAGAAGCGTGGCGCTGAGTTGTGGGTACCGATTTGAAGACATCAACAAAGTTTATAAGCGGCCGATAAGTTGACGATGAAGAACATTCGGTATATTGAATCTCAACTCCTGAATGAAGATTGTTGGTGTTGAGATCTCGGGAGACATGGCCCGAAGCGCAGATGACGTCTAGCGTCTTGGCAGTCGTCATAGCCCAAACTCTCGGTGGCAGACGATTCCGGAGACACCACGATGCCGTATGGAAACTTGGGCACACAAGTATCGAGGTCTAATTCTTCCATAGCCCTGAACTCGAACGTGCGATATTTGGAGTCCAAGCGGAAACGCGTAATATCAGCCCAGTATGGACGACGTACGGCAGGCAGTAATGTGAGCTTTGGAGTCCATGTCTTCAGATGATTGAGACAACGACCACGGCTACGAGACATCAGCAAGACCGCCTTCTTCACGGTGTCTAGATGACTGTAAAGTCTTTGCATGTGCGACAAACAGAGAGTCCAGGTCTCACACCATGTAAACCAGAACAAAGAAACCAGTACTTATTTTATTGAGAATGTATGCCAACTAGAGCTTTACTCAACATCTAAGAACACTATCCCTCCCTGTCAATACTCGCGGTGCGCGAGTCGAGATTGACCGGATTGACTATCGACACGCCTCCATCAAGTGGAAAAGATGGCGCCTGCCGAATCCTTGACCGATAAGCACGCCATAGGCGACCAGACTGAAGCTGATGCGGCGTCCGTCATTAGCGATGATGAAGACATCGAAGAACACCCGCGGAAAGATGCCCCGCTACCACCAGAAGTCGAACGCGGACCTGGATATGAGCCTTTCGAAACTCTTAAGCACAAAGCTGCACAGCTCATCCTCGATCTTTTCCCTGGTTACTGCGCCCGAGACGTAAAGATCGAACGCATGCAAGACGGAGAAAACAACCGCTTCCTCAGTGTCACACTGTGCAAGATACGTCCTAAAGCGCCATGGTACACTACTCAGAGAATTCTCGAACTACTTCAGCCATGTCTAACAGGCCGACCGACACGTCAAAACAAGCGAAAGCGTCTTGTTCTTCGCTTACCACACAATCCTGATCAATGCATGCACCATCAAGCTGTCATGCTAGCGTATCTGGGCCTGAAGCTCGAACATCCAGTCCCCAAGATTGTCGTATTTGATGCGACCGCAGATAACGCGCTAGGTCGATCATACATGCTCCAAAAGCGGCTGCCTGGCCAACGCCTGGACGCCCTCTGGCCAACGTTGAACCAAGCCCAGCGACTCAGTGCCGTGCGAGCCATCTCCGCCGTCCTTCTGGATATAAGGAAGATACGGAACAAGTGCCCTGGTCTCATCGGTATCCGCAACACTACTTACGATCTCAAGAACGATTTCGTCACCACGGAGCCGATACTTATTCCCAGAATTAAACATACCACTGGCCAAGTGACCTTCAACGTCGCACGTTCAGGGCCGCAAAGCACAAAAGACTTCTTGCTCGATCTCTGTGCTCGCCAGCGTGCATATTCGACTCCTACGAAACAGCCTGGTGGTAAAGAAGTCTGGGTTAGGATCGTCAAAGTGATTGAGACATTACATGAGTCCGGCCTCATTCCGGATTCTTCACCGTTCCACTTCTACCATGGCGACTTCAATGTACGCAATCTTCTCGCCTCTGTCACTACGGAGTCAGAAATAGCGATCACTGGAATCGTAGGCTGGGATTTCGCGCTATTCGCGCCGGCTTTCATGAGCACGTGCGCCCCGTTCTTCCTATGGAGTGGCAATATGGGCAGCGAAGGCGAGGAGGGCGACACGCTGGCCGAACCCGAGGATGCGGCATTGTTGGAGGCTAAGCGTACTTTTGAAGGTGTTGTGGACGAGGGCTTCCTGAAAGAGGCATACTCTCCACCATTGATTCTCGCGCGCCGGTTATGGCAATTCCTGGTTAGTGGTTTCACGAATGGAGCGGATATCTTTCTTGCGGAGGAGATTGTGGAGGAGTTCGAGAGGTTACATTCATCAGCGTAGGCTAGGTGTGGATGAGCAGTAAGGAGCTATCGTGACGTAGGGTCAAATTGTTCGCCGATACGGTGATAGCCAGTTAGAAAAACCCCAATTTCGTAGTTTAACAGTAACGCATTGCGATTGTACTAGGTGTTGACTTGGCAGCAAAGACAAAGAGACTTCCTTCTCTGCAACGAGGTCGCTATACCATCGCTACCACCCCATATACAGGCTTTCAGATTGGTATACTTACAGTCGGTCATCATCGCGCTCCTTGAGGACAGAGGTTCTGTGATCAAGATCATACGCGTCGTCGTATGTATCGAAGAAAGCGGGTTTTGACATACCCTGTAGTTGGTGGCCACACGGTTGCCAGCGATTCGATTCCCAGCCATCTGGACAATAGAGGTGCTGCTTGTGTTCATTCGCAATCTCTTCATTCACTGTAGACCATGCTTCAATGAAAGCTGGTAGAACTGTACACGTATAGTCAGTACGCGGAACGAGACCTGCCAGTTGTGAGGTTGGCCTTACCATCTCCAAAAATGCGAACTTCGATAACAAAGTCAAAATGAATCCCGCATTGTCTGCACTGAATGGCATATTCGTGGAAGTTGAAGTGTGCGTCAATCTCCCTCTCTGAGACGTCATGATTCTCGGCCACCACATACATTATGATGCCAAATTTCTGAAGACGAATGCTGCCACTCTGACATGCATCAAGTAGGCTTTGGACTTGTGGATCGCATTGAGGTCGTTCATACCGCAGGTCAAACACGCCGCCTCGCCCGCCGCGAGAGTCCCAACCCTTGCTGAGTACGAGTGTTTCCAGACCCATTGGCAGAAGCTTGTCGAGACTTCGCTCTTCCGACTTGTCGAGAGGACCTAGCGTGGGTTAGCAAGTTACAGATCAATGACGGGTATTGCATACTAATCAAGAGTTCAAACGGTACAGCAAGATACCGCAGACTGGCAAACTTTTCGAGTGTACCCAACCTCGTATCGCTGTAATCATAGCGTTCGCACAACTCCAGAGCTTGAAGTCCGGGTTGTAGCGTCTCCAACAAGGCCTTAGCCTCAGACCACTGCCACTGAGTATTGCCTGTGGCATTTCTTGATGGCCCCCAAGAGAAGGAGGTAAGTGCCTGGCATGCGCCAAGAAGATTTTCCAATAATTCAAGATGACACTCGAAGTTTTCCAGTCGTATTTTTCGACCTTGGACGTCTTTGGGGGACATCCCCAGGTAAAAGGGGGGTCGTTGTGACTGGATTCAACGTAATCGTGGTCTGACAGGACTACTTCCCGTAGAGAGTCTAGAATAACACAGCTATTTTGCCAGCGCCGCTGATGCATCGAGACTCAAGTCCTCCTTAAGCAGCCACCGTCTGTACATGGAAAGGATAATCTGTGTACCCCTTTTGTGGCGGATCAGCGCCATAGAAGGTGTCGCGATCATACTGATTCAGCTCCAGGCCCTCAGCGAGGCGCTTGGGCAGATCCGGATTCGCTATGAACCACCGACCGAATATGACAAGGTCAGCATCTCCGGACTCTACTTTCGGCGCGGCATTGTCTCTATTGAATCCACCAGCCGCAATGAACTTCACGCCACCCTTCTTTAAGATGCTTCGGAAGTTGACGAGCGTGTTGCCCTTGACCTTGACCGTCGCCTCCGCCTCCACGCCCTTGCCTCCTTGTGTGGTGTAAGCGGCCAAAGCGTCCATCTTGGCTTGCTCGTCGAGGACTTCATCGAAACGCGGTTCGACCCTAGCTATCGTCAGCATCAGCCTGGGGACCGAAGTGATTCAACTCACATGTGTACGTATGCAGGCCTCTCGTCCTGCGGAAGCGACGCAATCTTCTCGCATAGATACTCCCAGTGAACGTTGGGGTTGCTATCCTTGGTGTTCTGGAAATAGTTGTATGGGCTGAGACGGATGCCAACTCTGTCAGCACCGATGGCTTTGGAGCAAGCTTGGATGACTTCAAGCGGAAAGCGACTGCGACCTTCAATTGATCCGCCATACTGGTCCGTTCTCTTGTTAACATTGTCGTGTAGGAACTGATCGAGCAAGTATCCATTCGCGCCGTGAATCTCGATACCATCGAAACCGGCCCCAACCGCCTTCTTCGCGGCTTCCGCCCAGGTCTTTGTCAATCCTTCAATTTCTTCAACCGTCAATGGCTTAGGTGGATGATCGGCGCACACGACACCGTCAAGCCAACTACCCTCCATAGGCACGTCGCTCGAGCTGACCGTTGGCGCTCCGTCCCGGAAGGACGGTGGACTAGCACGTCCAGTATGCCACAGCTGGCAGAAGATGTACCCGCCTTTTGCGTGGACAGCATCCGTGACCTTCTTCCAACCGGCGACTTGGGAGTCTGAGAACACACCCGGTACGCCTGGGTACCCGCTGGCCTAGTACAAGTCAGCACGTTTGCTTTGACTGGCCGCGCACTACCCACGTATTTGGCAATGTCAGTGGCCTCTGTCAATTGCAATCCGCCCTTGCTTGCGCGTTGGCTGTAATACTCGACGTGTAGCTCTTTCGGTACGAACACTCCATCTTCCTCTTTGGTTGCTCGCATGCGTGTCAATGGCGCCTGCACTACTCTGTGCTCAAGATCCAGAGGGCCGAGTTTGAAAGGCGAGAAAAGCGCAGTCTCTTTGAGTGGCTTGAAGCCTGTCGGGCTATCTGCTTTCGGCATATTTGTTGGTATCGCACTTGTACTGATGACTGCGAAGAGGAGAGAATGAAGTCGTTGCTGCCACAAAAGATTTGTAACAGCTACATGGCTGCTGCTCAGGGTCTCCTATGTACCTGGCGCTAGTGCCAGAAACGGTGGTCGCCATCGCCGCAGATCCCATGCTGGGGAGTGGTGTTTGCAGATACAGAAATGGGGGAGGGGCAGATGCAGCAGAGCGTATGACGAGGCTGGCGTTTGCGGAGTACGAACGAACAGCCATCTGTACAACGCTGTTGCGCTGTGGTCCAAGAGTGGGGTACTGTGGGCCCGGCCATCGGAAAGGCGAAATCGTCTATCATCGGAACAGTCGTCTCGCGCAAACAGGCCAATCAGCGATCGCATTACGTGAGAAGGGTGTGAATACTGCGGAAACGGATGTTAGGTGAGGATATTATGAAGAGAACATCGCATTCTCTATCGCCTCGGCCTCATAACCTGTCTGCTCAGGTTTGACACCCGTCATGTCTCTGCCGATTCCGCCGAGAAGCAGTGCAGATCCGCCGCGGGGCTGTTCCGCTACCGAAGCCCTTACACCTTTCATCGAGACGACATTCAGAACACCAGACATAACAACATGGATCAACGGAAGGAAAACAATCATCACTAATCCGAACCCGCACTGGACTCTACTGGACTACATCCGCGCCCAGCCGAATCTCAAAGGCACGAAGCTGGGATGTGGCGAGGGTGGATGTGGTGCGTGCACCGTTGTTCTGCAGGTTGCGGATTGGCAGTCTGAAAAGAAGAGAATCAAGCATTCATCGTTGAATGCGTGCCTGTTTCCGCTGGTCGGCATCGACGGCAAACATGTGATCACCGTGGAAGGCATTGGTAATGTTGGCAGACCGCATCCTCTGCAAGAGAGGATCGCGAAGTTGCACGGCAGCCAATGTGGCTTCTGTACGTCGACCTGGACTTTGTTTTCTTCATATGTACTGACTATTTCCATAGGTACGCCTGGTATCGTGATGAGCCTGTACGCAGTGGTGCGCAACGCATACGACCCGGAAACGAAGAAGTTCCATCTCAGCGCTCGCGAGATTGAGATGGAAGGCCACTTGGACGGCAATTTGTGCCGCTGTACAGGCTACAAACCTATTCTTCAAGCTGCGAAGACGTTCGTCACCGAGGATCTGAAGGGTCAATTGGCAGAAGAAGATGAGCCAACGACTGCCGACGCTGAGAAGTTCGAGAAAGAGGTCATTGACCTGACTAGGAATGGCTGTGCAGGTTCTTCCAAGGTCTCCTGCGGGCGACCGGGTGGCTGCTGTAGGGATAGCCCGTCCGACAGCAGCTCGACAGACACCAAGTCAGACACCTCCTCACCTCCAACGGAACCAACATCGGCGTCAGAAGACGAGCACATCACTGCCATTCTGGATGCAAAGAAACAGCCGCAAGTGGATCCAGCGATTAGCGGTGCAGACTACGCGAAACCGCTGAAGAGTAAAGAGCATGGTGCGGGTTTCGAATCTAAGACTGTCACATCCACATTCGAGGCACCGGCGGCGACTTCAGAGAAGGGTGTCCCGAAGATCGAGTTCTCTCAATACGTTCCGGATACTGAGCTCATCTTCCCTCCGGCGTTATGGAAGTACGAGCCGCAGCCGCTGTGCTACGGTAACGACAAGAAGATCTGGTTTCGTCCTACAAAGCTCGAGCAACTTGTGCATTTGAAAGATGCATACCCCTCAGCCAAGCTCATCGGCGGTGCCAGTGAAGTTCAAGTGGAGGTTCGCTTCAAAAACTCCGACTTTGCTGTCTCCGTCTACATTTCAGATATACCAGAATTGAAGCAAACGCGGATGCCAAAACATGCTGAGCTTGAGACAGCCAAGGAACTCGTCGTTGCAGCGAACACCCCGCTCACTGAGCTTGAGGAGATTTGTAAAAAGGTTTACACAATGCTCGGAAAGCGTGCGATGGTGCTAGAGGCCCTTCGCAAACAACTGCGATATTTCGCGGGTCGTCAGATTCGTAACGTTGCATCATTAGCTGGTAACATTGCAACAGCATCGCCAATCTCAGACGCCAACCCTGTGCTGCTTGCGGCGGGTGCTACCATGGAAGCTGTAAACAAGAAAGATGGCAGCGTCGATCTCCCAATGTCAAGTTTCTTCATTGCTTACAGAACCACATCACTCCCGCCTGATGCAACGCTACATCGAATTCGAATCCCTTTGCCTCCGGAAGGATCACGAGAGGTTCTCAAGGCTTACAAGCAAGCCAAGCGCAAAGACGACGACATCGCAATCGTCACGGCTGCATTCCGAGTGCGTCTAAATCCTGACGGCCTAGTGGAGGATGCTTCGATCGTATACGGCGGCATGGCGCCTATGACGAAAGAGTCACCCAAAACCCAGACTGCCCTCTTGGGTAAGCCCTGGTTTCATTCGGAAACCCTTGATGCTGCTCTCACGGCGTTGTTACAGGATTACGATCTTCCATACGGTGTTCCAGGTGGCATGGCAGACTACCGGAAAACGCTTACCCTGTCACTTTTCTTTCGGTTCTGGCACGAGTCCGCTGCTGAGTTTGGTCTTGGCAACGTTGACGAGCAGGTGATTGATGAGATTCACCGGGAGATCTCCAGTGGTGCTCGCGATGATTACAATCCCTACGAGCAGCGCGTAGTAGGTAAGCAGGTGGCGCATCTATCTGCTTTGAAACAGTGCACTGGCGAGGCGGAGTACATCGACGATATGCCACGATTAGATCGTGAGCTATTCGGTGGACTTGTCATGTCGACAAAGGCCCACGCTAAAATCCTGAGCATCGATTGGGAGCGAGCGCTTGAGCTGCCTGGTGTTGTTGGCTACATCGATCGGCATAGCATACCCTCGGACGTCAACATCTGGGGCTCGATCAAGAAGGACGAAGCGTTCTTTGCTGAAGACAAGGTTCTCTACCACGGTCAGGTCATTGGCATGATATACGCAGAGTCAGCTTTGGAAGCCCAAGCGGCCGCGCGGGCTGTGAAGGTCGAATACGAAGAACTACCCCCTATTCTCACTATCGACGAGGCTATCGCAGCCCAAAGCTACTTCCCGCACGGGAAGAATCTGAGCAAAGGTATTGCAATCGATGACAAGATGGGCGACGCTTTCGCCCAATGCGACAAGATATTCGAAGGTGTAAGCCGGCTAGGTGGGCAGGAGCACTTCTACCTCGAAACGAATGCAGCGCTTTCTATACCTTCTGGAGAAGACGGGGCTATGGAGGTCTGGTCGTCGACACAGAACACCATGGAAACTCAAGAGTTTGTTAGCTCGGTACTGGGTGTACCAAGCAACCGCGTTAATGCCCGCGTGAAGCGCATGGGAGGCGGTTTCGGTGGCAAGGAGTCTCGCAGCGTGCCGTTCGCCGTATATACAGCGATAGCTGCTAGGAAGGAAAAGCGGCCAGTGCGCATCATGCTGAACCGCGATGAAGACATGCTGCTCAGCGGCCAGAGACATCCTTTCCAAGCTCGTTGGAAGGTCGGTGTGTCGAAAGAAGGCAAGCTCATCGCGCTTGAAGCTGATGTCTACAACAACGCTGGCTTCTCTCAAGACATGAGCGGAGCAGTCATGGATCGATGCCTGACGCACTTTGACAACTCATACGAGTGTCCAAATGTGTTCCTGCGTGGCCACGTGTGCAGGACCAACATCCACAGCAACACTGCATACCGAGGATTCGGAGCGCCTCAAGGCATGTACTTTTCCGAAACCGTCATGTACAGCATTGCAGAAGGTCTGGGCATGGATGTCGACGAATTACGATTAAAGAACCTGTACAAGCCTGGAGAACACACCCCATTTTTCCAAAAGATCGACGAGGATTGGCACGTTCCTATGCTTTTGCACCAGCTGAGCAAGTCTGCCGACTACGAAAATCGGAAAGCCGCTATCAAAGACTTCAACTCAAAGAACCGATGGCGAAAGCGAGGTATCTGCCTTGTTCCTTCGAAGTTTGGTCTTAGCTTTGCGACGGCTCTACATCTCAATCAAGCTGGCGCTTACATCAAGATCTACCATGATGGCAGTGTACTCTTGCATCATGGAGGAACAGAGATGGGTCAAGGTCTCTACACCAAGATGTGTCAGATAGCAGCGCAAGAGCTTGGCACTCCGCTCGATGCCATCTACACTCAGGATAGTCAGACGTACCAGATTGCGAATGCGTCCCCTACCGCTGCATCATCCGGATCCGACTTGAACGGCATGGCTGTAAAGAATGCATGCGATCAGATCAACGAACGATTGAGACCATATCGCGAGAAGCTAGGAAGAGACGCGCCACTGAAAGCGCTCGCCCATGCCGCTTATGTCGATCGTGTCAACCTCGCTGCGAATGGCTTTTGGAAGATGCCAAAGGTCGGATACACCTGGGGCGACACAAACTTGGAAACTGTCAAGCCCATGTACTACTACTGGACCCAAGGAGCGTGTTGTTCTGAAGTCGAACTTGACCTACTCACTGGCGACCACACCGTGCTACGAACAGATATCATGATGGTAAGCGCTACTGCACATGCATCCATTGCAACATACTAACGAAGCTTCAGGATGTCGGCAACTCCATCAACCCAGCGATAGATTACGGACAGATTGAAGGCGCATTCATCCAAGGCCAAGGTCTCTTCACCATCGAAGAGACACTCTGGACTCGGAACGGCCAGCTCTTCACTCGGGGTCCCGGAACATACAAGATCCCCGGCTTCAGCGACATTCCGCAGGTCTTCAACGCCAGTATGCTTCGCCACGATAACGACGGCAACCCGCTGTCGTGGAACCACTTGAGGAGTGTTCAAAGTTCCAAGGGTATTGGGGAGCCACCGCTCTTCCTGGGATCAACGGTCTTCTTCGCGCTGAGAGACGCGGTGTTGGCAGCGAGGAAGATGAACGGGAAGAACGACGAGGGATGGAATTTGGATAGTCCGGCAACCTGTGAGAGGCTGAGGTTGGCGGTTGGAGATG